CCAGAAAGGAGTGGCAAGAAATATTTACAGTAATGAAAAGCAAGGAACTACAACCAAGATTACTCTACCCAGCGAAGCTATCACTTAGAATCAAAGGACATATAAAGAGCTTCCCAGACAAGAAAAAGCTAAAGGAATTCATCACCATCAAACCAGTATTAACATGAAAGGCTGAAGGGTCTTCTTTAAAAAGAAGAAAAAAAAGACAAAAAATATGAACAATAAAATGGCAATAAATACATATCTATCAACAATTGACTCTATAAAACAAGCAGATGATTTATGAAACTAATTTTATGATAATAAAAGGGGCATTAGAAAAATGCTGGACAAAATAAATAAACAAGCAGAACAGAAACAGACTCAAAGATACAGAGAACATTTTTTTCTAAACATTCATCCATTGGTACATTTACATAGAAGGCAATGCCATGCATGACACTAAAAACAGATGAAATGAGGAAAAATTTTCCATTGATTTGACTCAATAAAATATTAATGCTCCATTTTTTATGTTGAGTTTCTAACAAGATAAAAATAAGAAAACATAATTATGTTTTTTAACTCAGCACAAATGTACAAATGTAAAAGCTACTAAGATTAAATTCTACAATGGGAAAAAAATACGCTGGATCTGAATTGATACGATTTGAAGTGAATAGGTTTAGATGTGACTTAACCCAGCCACCTCGCTTTCCAATGAAGAAAATCAAGGCCCAAAGACGGAAAGCATCTTGTAAAAAGAGTAACTGTTAGTTAAAAAATAAATAACCCAAGTTTCTTTTTTTTTTTTTTTTTTTTATCCTCATCCGAGGACATTTTTCCATTTTTTGTACAGACAGAGTGGGAGGGAGAGAGAGGAAGAGAGAGAGAGGGAAACATCGATGTGAAAGGGACACATCGAGTGGCTGCCACCCGCACGACCAACCAGGGCCGGGGACAAACTGCAACCGAATAACCCAAGTTTCAAGACTCTAATTCCTGAGTTCATGAGTATTCTTTAACAGCTTGTACACTCTACAAAACCAAAGAATCTGTACATCCTACATAAAGTAAGATTCTTTAAAGACCAAATTCTCATCATATACTGAGATTTTTATGCCAGCAAAATCACTGCCCCTTCCTCGCACCCCACGTCCCTGCCTCCCCTCCTCCCCCCCCCCAATTCCACCGCTGGAAGAAGTGGTCGTGAAGTCACATGTTAGATAATCTCAACAGTCAAGCTTTCCTGGGAACAGTCTGGGGAGAAGCTGTGATTGATGGACAGGGTTCATATCAACAACTGTCTCTGACTTTCCACGTTTTCTGATTCAGTTCCAAAGGAGACCTTTTGGACTCAGGGATGGTTCTGTCTACCTCCACATCTCAATATGAGTCTTCCAGAACATTCTGTACTCCTCATCTTGACAAAATTACGGAGAAACTAATTTTGCTGTAGTTTCAGTTACAAAAAGGTTGATGTGTTTCAAATTACTATTTTACTAATACTTTAAGGGCAAAACAAAAACAAAACAAACGAACAAAAAAAAAAACCCCTCCTACCTTCCCGACCCAGAGCAGCCAAGGCTGTTAGATAGGTGTGCCCTGCCCAACCCAGAGGGTGCCGTTCACATGGTGGCCTGTGTGAACGGTGCCCCCTGGAGTTAAGGGGTTCCATATCTGCAAGGCTACATGAAGGGTGCCTGCTCCCCTAAAATGGGAAATTAGTTCCTAGTGTGAAGATTGTTGATACTAACTTTTGTGGAATATTCAGTTAAACACTGACTTAACTGGCACAATTTATTCACCATTTTAAGTTTAAATTATAGTTTAGTCTCCTTGCTGGCCTTGTGTTCAGTGATGGAGGCCCTGTCCTGTTGTAGAGCCGGGTCACATAGCGGCAGCTCCCTTTCCATAGCCAGAGAGACCTGGTGTGTTAGGGTTTTAAGACTCAATTCTCTTTCCTGTCCCTCCCTTCTGAGTAGCCCACACAGTTGCTGTGGCCCGCTCAAGGTTGTTCCAAGCACTTCAACATATTTGAGGAGTGGGGGAGATACCTGGACCCAATCACTGATGAAGCTTCCAAGACCCACGGACTCAGTTCCACCTAGAAGCTCCGAGTACCAGTTTTGCCCAGTGCTTACAAGTATGAGCTTTAAGTCAGACCTGGAACCCTCTTAGCAAATAACCTACTGTGTGAGAGCTTTAGTTTCTTCATCAGTAAAATGAACAACAGCGAGAGCCTCGTGGAGTTATTGGAAGGTAACACGAACAAATGCAAGTAAAGCCCGACATGTAGTAAGTGCTTAAGAAACATTAGCTATTGTAATATTGTACAGACCAGAAGCGGTCTGCATGTTACAATTTCATAGTACAGAGTAGAGTAAAAATAATATAAACTCTAGTACAGAAAAAAGGAAGGATTATCCCTTAGAAGAGGCAATTTCAGCTGCATTGTATTTGAATTGTAAAGGTAAGCAATTATGGCAGACATTAGATACTTTTTTCCCCCTTTTATTCTGAGAGCTGTTGTGTATAACAACCCTGTAAAGTAAGCATGTCCATCCGGTATCTTTATCCCCAGTCTTCGGAAGATATGAGGCTCAGGGAGGTTAAGATGACTCCGTGGCAGAATCTCCTACTAGAAGGCAGGCGTGAAGACTTGCTGTTGAGGGTTTCATTGCACAGGGTGTGTCAACAGCAGAGGCAATAGCCGCCCACTAGGGGGCGCATGGCATCTAATGCGGTGCGTACTGGCAGCCATCGAGGGACTTAACACTAATTTCCATCCTCTCCCCCAACAAACCAAAAAAAGCAATCTAAATAAAAGACAGTGTATTTACCTTATGAACATATCTTTAAAATATCTCCCTTAGCCCACTCGTTCATTGAAGTTACACCTGCAAAGCCTTTCCTATACAGAAATTCTGGAATCAAGATGGCATTTCAGAATATGAGCAAGTAGGTATGCATCTTAAAACGCCCTCTGCCCCCTGTGGTCCTGATAAACCCCTTCAGCTGGGAATTTTTGTATCACAACCAGCTACAAACAAGAGGAAGTGTGCTATCTGACTTGATCACTGGAATATGATCACTCCCACCGCCTCTGGGACCAACACTTCGCCCCAGAATAAGAAACACTCTTTTGAGTGGGGCCTCCACCTGTTCTCTCAATAGGAGTCAATTTCTGAAAACTCAGGCTGGAAATAAAGCCATCACCCTGAGCCCAGATGGTTCTTGTCTAGAAGGCCCAGAGGTCTTCCCCAGACAACACATGACAACATGTAAAATGTCATGTTCAAGGTTCAAGGTTTTTACAAAACTCACTTTTCAGATGCTGCATCAATAAAGTCACATAACTGCTTCTTTTTTTTTTTCTCTTTAACTTTATTTTCAATATCAGGGAGTCACCTTTTCTTCCTCTTTTGAAGTGAGAGATTTTTTTTTTTTTTACCTCTTTGCTAAGTCACTTTTCACTAAATGGAAATCAAGAAGAAAAAAAGGAACATAATGAAGTGTAGTGAAACAAAAATGACCTGCCTTTGTCCCCCAGGTATCCAGCAGTTTATAGTCCAAATTACACTTGCCCCAAGTCCCACCTGACCCTTGTCACACAAACCAATACACACTGGAGAAAACTTTGTTTCTGTTTACTTATGTTAATCATCAAGCCAAAGCAAAGAGCCTTCCACTTTTCTGGACCCAGGGTAGCAATTAAATATGAAGACATCACAATTCCTCTAGACAAATAAGAAGGGGAAAACCCTCCGGATTCTAGGCCAGGGGGTAGGCAGGGAGTTGCATCAGCTATCACGCGGAACAAAGTAGGTTTCCTAACTGGGAACTTTCTCAGTTTCACACACCAGCACCACCGATGCTGAGCAGGATATTTACTTGAGTCCATAACTAAATGTATTCACTTAGTCCATGACTAAGTAATAGACCCCAGACAACTCAATCTACAGCTCGAGAGAAGCTGGGTAAAAAGATAAAATAACTGCACTGTGAGTGCTCACAGAGGCATGGACAAAGCCAGCTGAGTGGCAGAGAGGCAGATGTCCGTAAGAAGAAGTGCAGCTGTGGTGGGAAAGGCACATTATCTACTTAACCACCCTACTGACCTCCCCTGCGGGCCACCACATAACCACAAATGGGTACAGAACACACTACAGATTCTATTCACACACAGGGATGAGTGGAGTGGGGACATCACCCCTCCAGAGTAGCTTCTCAGATGCTTCACAGGCAGGGGAAACTGTTTGCAAATGCAAAGTTTTTTCCACACCCCTCTGGAAAAATCCTGGGAAAATGCAAGCAGAAAAACCACTTCACCAGCCCTCCACCCTGAGCAACCCTGAATCCAGACTGACTGGACAGACACCTAGCAGCAGAGGTGAACTTTTGCATAAAAGCTGCAACACACTTTCCAGCCCTTAGCACAACTACCCACGCACAACCCCGGTTTCCACTTTGAAGGCGGGGAAGTCGCCAAGGGTGGGGAGGTCGAGCATTCAAACAGTGCCACCACTCTCTGGCCCCTTTATGATATGATTCAACCTTTTCGCGGGGTTGTCCAGGCTCAGTTGGAGGAAACTGTGCCAAAGAGGAAAACTATCAGAGCTGTGATTACTCGGTGAGCTGCTTCCTAAAGTGGACAGGCCACTCTCTACGTCCACCCTTCCTTTCCAGCTCCGCTTCCCAGACCCTACATTCCACGTGGATTGTCTGCAGACAAAAATGAGGCGATGTGCAGTAAGCATGCGACCCTGCGCTTGGCGCAAAGTCGGAGTTGAAGAACACTGCTGGCCGGGGCCCCTCACACACCCCTGCTGGGTCCAAGCCTGCGACGACTCTAGGGTGGGGACAAGTTACCCCAGGTGGGTAAAAGTTGTTAAAACTCCAAGTCACCCAGAACACGCTGGCCCCCTGGGTATGACAGCACGTGGGTGCGAGTGCGGGCGCCCTGGGAGAGTGAGTGGGTGTGCGCGCCGGGCACGGGCCACGCGGCATTAACCCCTTACCTTCCAGCAGCACCTCCTTGCCAGCGCGCTTCAGCGCCTGCACCGCCTCGTCGTGGGTGGCGTCCCGCAGGTCCGCTCCGTTCACCGACAGGATGGCGTCGCCCACGTACAGGGCTTGGGTCTGGTCCGCCGCCAGCCCCTTGAAGATCTTGCTGATGAGGATGGGCATCTTGTTCTCCTTGCCCCCCTTGATGCTGATGCCCAGCCCGCCCAGCTCCTGCTTCAGCACCTTCACGCCACGCTTCTGGTTCGAGATGGACTCGGGCACCTGCTCGGGCAGGTCGGTGAAGGCGGTGCGCACCCCGGCCGGTGAGTCCGGGGGCTGCGTGCCGCCCGCGCCTGGGTGCCCGGCGCCCCTGCAGAACGAGCCATTGGTGGCGGTCCCGATGCCGTTGTACGCCGCAGCGCCCTCCTCGCAGCTCAGCACCAGGGCGTCCTCGCTCAAGTTCACCAGAACTTTGTGCCAGCGATCCCGCACCAAAACTTCCAGCAGCCCGCTCCGCTGCGCCCGGCCGCCGCCCCCGCCGCTCGGCCCGGCCGCCGCCGCCGCCGCCGCCGCTACCGCCATCTTTCCGGCATTCTTAAAATGCCATGTGATTGCACGCGGGGCAGAGCGGGGCAGAGCGGGGCAGGCTGGCGCGTGGGGCCGCGGGCCCGGGGCGCGGACGGCGCGCGGGCGGCGGGAGGCAGCTCCGCTCCGCGAGTTCGCAGGCGCGCTCGGGCGGCCTGGCAGCCGCAGCCGGCGGTCCCCCCTCGCCGGATCGGGGCGGGGTGGAGCAACCTAAACGGAGGGAGACAGAGCGGGGAGGGAGAAACAGCCAGCTGCCAGTTGCAAAACCCCGAAGCCGGGGCGCCGCGGAGAGGGAGGCGCCGCGGCCGGCCGGTAGGAGGCACGCTCGCGGGAAGGGCGGGGCGGGGGCCGACCGCTCACCTGTTCCAGCCGCCGCAGCCTCGGCGGTCACACGCCGCCCGCCGCCTCGGACCCTCCCCGCCTCCCTCCTGGGAGCGCGCGTCGCCGCAGGGGCGCCACCCCAGCGCCGCCTCTCCACGCGGCTCCAGCCCTCGCGGCGGGACTCTCCCTTCCCCGCGGGCTCCCACCCGCACCTTTGCTGGCTCTGCGCGTCCTGCCTCGGTCCCCTCACTGGATGTTCCCGAAGCCCCTTCGCTTTCACACCCGCCGTGAATTGTCCCTCAGTCCCAACCCGCAATGTCTCAGATTCAAGTCTTCTTAGTCTGGCTTCCCAAACCGAGGCTTGGCTTGTGCTGAGTGCTTACCTGTCACCCCTGTCCGCGAGGACGCCCAGGTAGGCGCAGACAGTGGAGAGGGACGGCTGTCCCGAGAACCCGGAATGAAACGTCAGCACAGCTCAGTTCCCCCGAACTTCCTCTCTTTCAATGCAGGACAGCTTTCTGCCGGGTCCTGGGAGAGGTATCTCTGCTGGCCGGGTCGTTGAGCGGGTCGCTGCCTGCCGCAGCCCCCAGGGACAGATGTTCCTCCAGCTCTAGCACACCGTACGCTCGGTGCCTCTCACCTACCTGCCCCCTCCCGCCGCCCCCAACATCGCACCACATGCTTCCTGGGACTTTCTTCCCAAGATTTACGCTAGGAAGTCCACCATTGAAGAACTGCATTGCAATGGATTGTATCTCAAGAGTTCTTTTACAAGTTGCATATTTAGAGCTCAAGCTGCGTGTTTCCAGTTCAACAATATTATCGTTGTTGGTTACCTTCCCAGGTCAATCCGGAAATGCCAACATAACTCATGTCAGAGCTCAGCCTCCCAGAGTCCTCCTGGTCCTTAGCCTCCCAGTTCTATCCCCACACGGAGCAGACCTCCTGGGCCTCCCCAAGTATTTCAGGCTCTCACCTCCCCTTGTCACCTTTCTCTCCCCTCTCTCCATAAACAAATCTCACGTTATCTTCGAATTCCTAAAGGTAAACCCAATCCAGCAAGGTGTCAGGAGGAAAGAAATATTGAATGCATTTCCACTGATGTGTATCATCACTGAAAGTTCTCTAACCTTTCCAGAATGACTCACACTTTTAATTGCGAGGACTTAAAAATGCAGGGGTCACAGAAGGAAATGAAAACATTTGGACTTTTTTTTTTTGAGGAGGAGTAGAAGGGAAAGTCACTGCAGACAGGTCAGTGGGAACCTTTGGATTAATGCTTCTCTTCTATGGTTTTCACCCAACGGTTTTCCAAAAGCTTTTTTATTCTTTTATATGCATGTTCCCATGGCAGGGACAGCAGCTTACATGCACAGGATCAGACAAGGAGCTGATACAGGTGATGTCACTGCTGGGCCTGGACACCAACGAGGACTGCCCTCTACCTTAGGGACTGAGTGTCTGCGTTCTAACCCCAACACTAAGGTAGAGATGGGTACCAGAATGCCAGTGTGATGATTGAGAAATCGAAACAGATCTGCCTCTGGACCCAAATCCTCCATTTGCGTCACACCTGTACCTTTTGCCTCTGTGGCCCAGCAAATTGGGAGGCCCAGGCATAAACAGAGATGATGTATCAGTCTGCCATAAGATATTGCAGGCTCTGCAATGGGAATTCCTCTGAATCTCTGTGATAAGCACTTTTTTTCTGTGTAAGCAAATTTACATGGGAAGGAGTAGGTTGCTTGTTGAAAGTGGCATCAGAAAGAAGGAAGACAGATATTTAAGATCATTAAGCCTGAGGCATGCATGATAGCCAGAGACGGCTTTGCCGGTGGAATTATAATAGCTCCTATTCTAAGTGCTTTATGCATATTAATGTAATCCTTCCAGAAATTTGGGGGAATACTCACTATTATCATCACTCCATCAAACAATAAGAAAGTGGAGCTACTTGTTCAGTAACTTCCCTCATGATACTAGTCATGTAGCTAGTAAATGGTAGTCAGGATTTGAAGCCAGCAATGAAGAGTCTGGATTCAACCACTGTTCTACACTCTTCTGAAAATACTCAGAGCATGTGAGCTGCAGTGAGCATCTGGCACTGAGGCCTGCCTCTCCTCGGGGAGGGGAGCACCGGGGATGAAGGCCCTTCTCCCAGACCACGTGGAGGAGGCCTCTCTTCTTTCCAAGGCTAGAGAATACCCTGCTTCCCCTAACTGACACCTGTTTTCTCCTTCGGACATGTTAATACGTTGAAACTGGCAACTGCTGGGGTCTTGCTGGCCTCTGATTAATGATGCTGATTCTCAAAGGTAAACCTTCTGGTCTTCATTTCTTAGTTCTGGGCGGGACGACCACACTGCAGCCCCTTACTACTCACAAATAGCACAGATTATACTCTCCTTAGGTCACTAGCAAGGACCAAAAAGACTTCCAGTTTCCTTGTTTTTGTAAGTGTGGCATTTGAAGTAGAGCAATGGTGGACCCAAGGCCACATAGGGAGTTTGTGGCAAAGTCACAGCTGGGTTACCATGGCTACCTGTCCAACTTCAGTATTCTAGACTTTTCACCTGAAGCCCTACCCCACCCCACTTTTAACCAGAATTCGCTGACCTAGCACTGTCTCTTGTTCTGTTTCCGTCTTCTGTCCTAAATTGGGATCCTCCAATATATGCCCCTTTTTCATGGGAGGTGCATTTTCCTACAGATGTTTGGGTGGACTTGGACTTACAAACACAGGTCACACAAGCCACAGCTCCACAGACCCAAGGGTACATGCCCCTCCTCCAGCAGCATGTGCAGGAAGGGGCCGTGCCCACCCATTCATTCCATACTGTGTCACCGTGCGTGTCCTGCCACATCCCAGGCACTGTTCTGGGTGCTACAACAATGGGAGCCAACAAACTGGCAATGGTGTGCCCTAAGAGGCTGACGCTGTGGTGGGTGGTGGGATGGAGATAGAGGGAGACTGCAAACAATAGATACTCTCCTGGAGAAGTCAATGTTAGGAAGAAAATATAACGGAGAAGTAGGATCAAGAATGACTAGGGGCAAGGGTGCCTGGGGACGATGGCTGTTCAGGAGAGCCTTTGTAAGAAGGTGACTTAGAGGCTGAGATATGCTTGCAAAGATCTAATGGAGAGGGTCCCAGGGAGAAGGAAGGGCCAGTGCAAAGCACCTGAGACAGAACCAAGCTTATCTGGTTCAAGGGACCAAAAGCAGGTCAGGGTGGCTGGGGCAGCCCATGGGAGGGAGAGAGAGTTAGGAGAGGAGACCAGGGAGATAGGCTGGACCAGGTCCCAGGGAAGGCCCTGGAGCCTTGCAACACAGACCGTCCTTCTTGTCTGCGAGGTTCAGCAACCGTATGGTTTGGATTGTCAGGGAGAGTCTTGATTTCAAATATTACTTCCTATTATCTACTGAGAAAACGTCTACTGGCTAGAGCACAAGGTCCAATATTTAGGTTTGGAAAATATAATCATTGTAATTTTGGCACTATTTCCTAAACGGTAGGTTGAGCATCGCTAGGGCAATTATCCAATATACAGAATGGACAGTGGACCCAAGGTAAGTAGTGGAGAAATGGATAGCTCCCAATGTCAGGGGAAGGGGGAGGGGGGCGGGTAATTAAAAAACGGAATGAGAGAGAAGCAGGAGGGGTGCTAGAAATGTAAAACTTTTACTTTTTATTTATTTTTATAAATAAATAAAGGGAGGGAGAGAGAGATAGAAACATCAATGTGAGAGAGAAACCTTGATCAGCTGCCTCCTGCACGCCCCCTACTGGGGGTTGAGCCTGCAACCCAGGCATGTGCCCTGACTGGGAATCAAGCTGGGACCCTCAGTCCATGGGACAATGCTCAATCACTGAGTCACACCAGCTGGGCTAGAAATGCAAAACTTTTAAAGTGAGTCCCAGTTATGTAAATACATGTTGAATAAATGCTTACTGACTACCACCTACTCTTGTAAAATCATAATGCTGAGTTAGTGACTCTTATTTTAAAGATGAAGCATTGAGACTGAGGGATGGCCCTGGAGCAGAAGGCTGAGCAAGCCCTTTCTTCTCTGGCGTGCTAACAGGTACCTCATCCGCACTGAATAGGTTGGCAAACACCCTACATTGCATGTACCTGGCATTTACCTGGGCGGGTCCTTGGTAAACTAGATAGACCACCACCTAGACTATCAGCCAGCCAGTCGGGTGAGTTATTTGATTGCTCACTGTGTTTAGAATGTTGCAGAGGGGACTTTACCTAGATCAGACCAGCCCAAGGCAGAATTTAAAGTACCTAGATGTTTACCTTCCACCTTCTCTTAGTGAGTTCCACTCCCTTCCCTTCACAACAACCTGCTGTTGAAACAAAACTTCCACCAGTCTTTTAATATCTATAATATAAATTTAAGTCACTTTTCCTAAGGATTTATACATTTAATACTTCTTTTAAAATTGTAGAATGCTAGGTTAGATTCCCGTATTAAAGACATTAAACATATCCTAGAAACTTTTTAACAAATTGGCCTAAGTAAGCATACAAGGTGTCCTGGTACAATGATGAAAAGGAATAAGACATTGAAGTTTCTCCCATACACATCTTTTTTAAAAAACAGGAAGTGAAATTGACATAAAATGTCAATAAATATTTCAGGGTCTTGCTAGGCTACGCTTCAGACTCCAAAAGAGGTGCATTATTAACTTCCATTGGGAACCTTCAGAAGCTAAGGTCTCTCTGCAAGGGAAACTGTCTAACTTTTCCACACCATCTTCACTTCCTTTATGGAATCATCCCTCGATCCACAGAAGCTTCTCATACTCTGCGGCAGAGCCTGCCAGCCCATTATTTTTCATGACCCAATGTATCCCTTCCAGGGAATGTATTTCCCCCAGGGAACCTCTCCGCGAACCCTTTGTACTGAGCTCAGTCCATCGATATGGTCACATGAGATCCTC